TGCATGGGAAGAATTTCCCACAAATCCCAAAAGGCATACCCTTCCTGCTGCCATGCCCAGGCCTCCTTCCCAACAAGCAGACACCTTCGGCCTGGCTGTGTTCTCTGCCATGGCTGGGACCGCGGAGGTGGCCTTGAGAGGCAGGTGCTGCAGAGCACTTCAGGCCGTTGAAAATCGATTTCTCAATGGGAAGCAAATACATTTCTTTTTGTTTGCATGGAGTGATCCAGTGCTCGGACCCAGGACTGGGCCTCATGAGGAGCATGCCACCTCCTTGGAGACAGCAGCTCTCTGTTGCAGGGCTGGATCTGACAGCCTTCGCCCCACAGTCAGCAGCATCCTTGGATGCCAGCCTTCCGTGCTCTTCTGCAAGACCAAATACACAGCAGCAGAAGAGAGAGAAAAAAACAAGCAGGAGAGAGCGAACCTTGCTGAGGCCCTCGGGTCCCAGAGGTTGGTAAATGTCTCGTAGAGGCTCTGGTGATGATACCAAGAGCTGCTGCCTGCACTGGAAAAGTCAACTCATGACTCATCTGATGTTGCGTGTTTGTGCCCTTGCATTTCGTCTGGGCAGTGATGTATCCAAAGGGACCAGGAGTATTTACACCCATCCTGAGAGGTGACTCAGCTGTCCCCTCTCATACCACCCACGGCCACCCCCTCACCCACTTTGATGCATCTCAATAGTGGCAGCTGATGGGAGCTAATGGGAGCTCATGGGAGAGTAGCAGCTCTGCCCAGATGACGAGGAAGCCTGCCACTCTGCAAGGGATGGTCTGAAGGCATGGCTGTCTCCAGGCTGGGCTTATGGAGAGAATAGACTGATGGGCCAGGTTTCCTGAAGTCCTTTGGACACTGAAAGCTGTCCAGTTCAGAGACTTGACTCTTACATGGATGCCTGAGCTGAGCTGTTCTGAGGAACCTTCAGCATGGAACAGAAAGACAATGAGACACATAGGTCCACCCAAGCACTTTCTGACCGGTTTCAATGTATATTCTTCCTTTCATCCAGCAGACTGGGCCTGGCAGTGTCCATCTGTCAGCAAGTACCTCATACTCAGCATGTCCCTTACAGCTGTACTCAAAGGCCAAGCTGAAGACATGTGCTCCTGACTGGTCCAGATGTCCTGTCTGCTCCTGCTCAGGCCCAGCAGCTCTCACCATCCTGAATATGGAGCCACAGCACGTGTGGACCTGCTCTGCAGCATCATTTGCTGGAACTGCTTGGTTCTGTGGCCCCATCCATGCCCCCACACAGTGAAAAGCCTGATTTTAGAAAGTCAGAGACCAGCAGTTGAAACTTGAGGGCAGATTTTGCCTTTTCTTATGGGCCATTTGTGCCACCCCAGCAGAGCCAAGATAGCAGATCGCCCAGCAATGTAAAGTCCTTACCCAGGCATGAGTAACCCATACTCAAGTCCCATATTGCTGGGCGGCATTGCAACTAACTCTTCTTCCTCCATAGAGCTGGACAGATGGCAATGCTCCTCAGATGCAACACTGTGACCTTCTGACCAGCTGAGCAAGATCTTGAAAAAGAGACAATGTCAGGCTGTCCACCACAGGGACTGCAGAAAAGCTAGTGGAGGTAGAAACCAGGAGCCCAGGGATCTCTATCTGTGGGCACACCAGGGAAAGGGGGGTATCCCCAGAGACCTGCCAGATGTCTTTGTCATGAGCAGGGTGGTGGGACAAAGCTGAGCCTAACACCAGCCTGGATTAGACCCAGCCAAGCCACTGGAAGAACAGAGGAGGGTGGCACGGAAAAGACTGTCTTTGGCCTTCTCTCAGGTGGGAAGGTATGACAAGAAGTTATTTCTCTGACTGCTCCAGAAGAGATTTGATTCCTGTCTGAGCCATGTCTCGTTGTCTTCATAGCCAGCAGCACACTCAGAGAGATCTGACCTCTACAACACCACTTTTTTACTTTCCAGCCCAAATGATTCAGTGTTCTTGTACCTATGAGTCTACTGGAGGGGCTCTGGCCAGCTTATGGAGTACTGGTTGTGCCCTGGATGGCTACAAGATGCCTAAATAACCCAAGTTCCACACCCCTCCTCACATGACTAGGAGCCCCTAAAGATGCCTCTTCAAGAAGCCTTGGCAAAAGATGGTGCCCATGGGGTAAAGGGGACAAGGTGGTACCCCAAGTGCACACTGACACTGTCATGTGTGGGGTGAAGGAATCCTTGGTCAGGCTTGCCTGGAAGGGGAACCAGGGACTGCAGGGGTGTGGGGGACAGACACTGTCCGCTCCAGCCTATGAAACTCATTTCATCCTTCCTCTTCCCTTTCCCTGGGCAGCAGGAAAGGAAACAAACCCTCTCATCTAAGCTGAGACAAAGCCAGCCAAGGCATCCCCAGCCTAGCAAAAAGACAAG